TGTCTTCCAGTGCTTCACAAGGATTACCCCTTTCATATCAGGCAATAATGCCTGAAGCTTAGCAAACATTATGAGATTCATTTTAGATCTACCAATTACAGTTTTCTCTGGGTCCCATATTAATTTCAAGAAATATTTCACAATCCCAGACTAAGATGTTGAAAAGGATCCCCTCGTTCCCTCCAAGCCTTCAGACAAAATGGATGGCAGAAGTTGGTGTGAAGAAAAGAACACATCTTTTGGGTCAGGCAGTTACAGCAATTACCTTTCAAAGCAAATTTCTGGGTACTTCTGTTTTGGCATGTTTAACATGCCAAATCAAAGGGAATTTGGTTCATGTGTATAGATGATACTAACAGTGATATCTTAAAGACCGAACACAGCATACATCATCTTTTTAGAAGAGAGACAACTAAATACAAGCTTTAAAACTTTTATGTGGCATGCACAGAACAAGTTTTCTGCTTCTAGAGCTGACAGTCACCATATTTTCCTTGTGCTTCATCCTCCATATTTGCCTCCTTCAGCTGTATGTACAAATGACGCTGGTTTTCCCCAGAACAGTTAGATAGATTGCAATGACATTGAATGCGATCTGGTTTCAATAGTACTGCATAGATGAAAGTAAGAAAACAAAATGCCAAAACAATAGAAAACCAGATCACATTATAATTAGTGCTGTAAACCAAAGGTATTTCTGTCAGTCCCAGCACAACCTCACACTAGTTACTTCTGGCTCCTTTTGTTAAAAGCCAGTTATGTTCCTTCGCTAGAAATTTGCATTTTATTCCTGATTACATTATGTATTCTTGTTGAGAAAGTGCAGAGGACACGAATATTTAAGTATGCGAAGCAAGCAAGACTGCAACATTGCCAATTTCTTTCAGTCTATTTTTTCATCAGTTCACTGAAGCATCACACATTGCTTCCTCACCATTAGCAGGAGTTATTTGCCATGTGTATCTCATGAACTTGTGGAAAACTGTAAGGCATTCTGTTGGCTCTTCATATTTACAATATAAGAACTTGCTGCTGCATCAGTGATTTCTGTGGATGCATTGACTCTGATGTGAGCAGGGGCAGGAGCTGCTGGGACAGAGAACATCTCTTCTTCTCTAGACTGGGTGGCAAATCCATTTCAGACATTCAGTCAGGAAATGGTATGCTAATTAACCAAGCACCTGATATTGGTTTTAATATTTTAGTACTTTTCCTATATATTGCCACGAAAAAGATTTAAATGTGGGCTTAAAGTAATAAAAATGAAGTAAGAAATAGCATCTGTAGAACAATGAAGATCCATGATTGGGACCTACATTTTACAGTAACAAAAAGTACTCATTTCTGTGTCAGTTGATCAGCTGAAAATGCAGAACCATAGATGGACCCAAAGCAAAGCATGTAAGAAGAGCAAGTGACTTTTTAGCCTGAAAAATGCCTGAGGCAAAGGGAAATAAAAAATATTCAGTGTAAAAATGCCCATTACATCAAGCCTGCACAGAAGCATCAGGATCTGGCTCAGAAACAGCCCAGCTCTCACTGTCACCTTTAGTGGCTTTGAAATAAATACCTCTAGAAATGCCCCAGTGCCTACTGTCCCCAGATCCTAGCCAAGCAGGAGCAAACAGGTGTGCTAACACAGTGGGGTGAGAACATGGACATCTGTATTCTCGCCTTTAGAATTAGAAGAGATCATTCTAAATAAGAAAGAGGAAAATTCTGCACAACCTTGTCCTTAACTGTCTATCCTGAATTGTCATTATTTGCATATGGTGTTCGTATCTATACCCTGGTGTGAAAATCTGAAGGAATGCTAAAGTCTTCAGCATAAATAGCATATTAATGTGTTTTTTAAAAACCTGCACATTTTTACAGGGGAAACTGAAATATTTTCATCCAAATGTATAATAAACTTATATTTCTTTACAGCCCACACTCCTCTTAAATAGCCATAAAACCTTTTACAGATGTCATGCTCTAATAAGACTGCAGATTTACACTTTGATTTAAAAACAAGCAAGCCAGAATCTATACTTTCCACTGAATGAGGGAAATACTATATTACTGGTTTAGCTCTCCTTTTGCTGTACTATCTAAAGCAACATTAATGATATATTGAGTAATTTGGAAGGAAAAAAAAATCTTAAAAATATATCTCCAGAAAGCACAGTGAAATAACCATGGGGAGAGGATGGATCCCCAGCCACCCCATCCTCAAGTCCTCTTGACAGGACATCACAGACCGAACCTGCAAGTGCTTGTGCTGCAAGGAACAATCCTCTATAAGGCAGGGCATGATGCCATTGCGACAAAGGTTGCACCTGTGGCTAGGCTGTTTAGAGAAACACAATATAGTGAGATTGGGCTGGTTTATGAGTGTGTATGGACTTTACCATGGGTCCTGGTGTCCATGTGCCCTCATGTATAGAGTCTCAGACCAAGCAACCAGCTTGGTGCCCAGTGAGGTGTTTCTGCAAGGGTCTTCCAGGTACCACATGTTTTGCTGTGTTGTCCTGGGGTATTCACAAAAGCAGCCTCAGCACAGCTGGAAGGGAGTGGTCTGGGGATGGCTTCTGAAGGGATGTAATTTCCATTGGTGCGTTCATTGTCTTCTGTTTAAACCAATCAACATAATGAATATGTCGTCATAATGCTTAAGTGGCTAATGATATTAAACCTAGGGTAGTTAGTAATGCTAAGCTAATCAGAAGCATATGCTTGGAGGACAAATAGTCGTACTCCCATCTTATCTGTTTTCAGCATTTAATCCAAACAAACTTCCAAATAAGGCACAGGTGATGGATAATTTAGGCTTGAGGAAAACATATTAAAAAATCTACATGGTAATGAATAGCTTCATGAATTAAGAAAAAAGATTTAAAAACCAGAAAAAAATATCAAAAAGTGTCTTGAATCATCGGGGGCAAGCAAATAATTTAGGGTTGAAGAAGTCTAGACCCATGTAAAGCTGATGTGCAGAACAGGGAACAAGCTTAGGTAAATAGCACTTATTTGGTACAGGCCACCTTGCTCAGCCATTCCACATCTGGCTTGTGGCAAACAACTGGCTGCACTCCCATAGGACACACAGCAGTGCAGGACTCCAGCAGAAGCCAAATGTCCAAACATAAGCCCCTAAAATCCTGTAGAATAATCCTTTGGAAACCCTGAAAACTGGAGTTCAAAAGGGCTTCCAGTGGATCAGAGAAAGCATCGTGATATTTCAGCTATTTCGGCTCTAGCAAGAAGCCGAGTTGCTGTGCCGGGGATCCTCTCCATGGGTTCCCCTCTGAGGCTTCTGGCAAGTATTGCAGGGTGGAGTATAATCACAGAGTTTTAACCATTAAAAAAAAAATAAGGATTTAATCCTCTGTTTCTCTAACTAGTGATCAGAATTGTAGCTTTAGGAGAAAATCCTCCAACAGCCCTATTATAAGATGGGACAAAGTGCCTGGTGGGGTTTCCCTCTTGTTCTCTTCTCTCTCTTTTCAGATCATCAAGGGAGCCTAGGTGAACAGCTTGTGCAAGAGGCCTTATTTTTAGATGAAAAAGTTATTTGAAATGAATCCTGCTTTCAGCTTTTTCTTTCATTTCTGGAAACTACCACTATGTCAGATTAAGATTGACGGCTTCCCCTCCTGGAAAAGCACAGTGAAGGACTGCCTTTACTGAATCACACTTGATTTGATGTTTCTTGTGTTTCTGTGTTTGAAATAATTTCCTACATGTAATTATACACTTAAGCAATATTTATGTGCGTAAAACAGCTATACAGTTTTCCTGTTTTCCAAAAGAGATTGGCTTGCCCTGGAACATTTTGCCTTAGTACTGTGTTTTTGGACTAGATATTGCTATTTAGGATACAAATAAAGGGAAGAGACTTAATTGTGCTTTTGAATTAATTGTACAGAAAGTTCCCACATAAGGCCACACATTTATGCATGACAAAAAAATGTGTACACACAGTACAGAAGTGTAATTATATTGAACCCACACATGTGTAACAAAAAAAAAGTTGGAAATTGGCACTGCCTTAATGATGTGCCAGATATTAAGTGATGCCTTTTTTATTCAGATTCACAGTATATCTTCTGAATTTTGAACAATCTGTTAGCGAGATGCTAGCATCTCATTCATCTGATTCTCAACAAAAATCTGCTTCTGTCAGATTTCAAGTGAATGTAACATTTATAAAAAAGTTCAATGGCAGCCAAATCCTGCAGTGCTCATACAGCTAAACACTGACTGCAAATTGCAAGTGGTTAGAGACTGCGAGATAATGGTCTCCAGCCTTTGTTAAACCCTCCATCTCAGGGTTTAACAGCACAGTTCTGAAGACTGCAGGGAATAGTCCTGCTTTAGTATGACTCATTTTATTATTTTGTGTGTGTGCATTTCCTACTTAATACTCAATGTGATAGAGCATACAAACCTATGACCTCCAGCAAAATTGTGAGGATATAAATGAAATGGGGCTTAGGCTGTAATATTTGCTGTGCAAAAGCCTTTGTGAATTAGCCTGCAAACAGCCACAGAGTGGTACAAACTGAACAGCTTTTAGATCCTACTTTACCATGTTATTTTAGTTAGTTTAGCAGCTGAAGTAGGATTTTACTCATTACAATTAGTCAGCAGTCTCATTCCCTGTGCAGATGATGGAGGTTTACAGCACTTGCAGACTGTGCTGCCATAATGCCTTGAAGACAGGTGGCAGGTCTTTAAACATTGCCACTTAAGAAGCAAAACGTCCTGGATCCTTAATTTTTGCACACGTGGGCCCCTGAACTGTGTCATCTGAAGGGGTGTGCAACAGGAGGCTGACCCTTATGTGCAGCCAGAAACAGCCTTGTTCTCCTGGGATGGGATGGTGCTTGACAACTTACCCCAGGATTTGCCCAGGTGGTACAAGCCTCATACAAGATACAGCATCACCAAATCCAACAGGCCCAGCACACACATGGGAGGGAGTGAAAGCTCTTTAAGGATGCAAAAATATGACTGGCTCCACCTGCTCTGAAGGAAAATTAAGTGCAGGTGCTGGGACTCAGCCCAGGGACCTTCGTCAGAGCTGGCAGGTTTAAATATGCTTCCAGTCCCCAAAGCCAAGAAAGATGGTTTCATCCCAGCCCCCTAGGGAAGGGTGTGTGCTTCCTTCTCCACAGCTAATAAACATCAAGAGGTTGCTTGCAGGAGGAGGTTGTTTCTTTAGAGTGATGTGAGGCCAACCCTGCATAGCTGGAAGGGGTACAACAGCTGCTTTTTTTCTGTGAATCAAAAGGAAATTTTTCTCTTCTTTGCCAGCCCGGGAATAAAAAGTGCTCTATACTAGGATGGCAGTGTTGAGGGCACGTTATCCTGGTGGGTGGAAAACAAAACCTGCCAGCATGTGGTCCACCAAGCTGAGACCCATGCTGTCTGCTTGGGGCCTAGCACTCTGTGCAGGTGCCCAGCATTTGGTCCTCCTGCATGCAGGAGCTGAGAAAAGTCCCCCCCATACTGACCTGTGGTGGCCTACAAAGAAGCCATGTGTAGAAAGCAATAGATGTTTGTGGTCAAGATAATTAAAACCAGAGGTGCTAATTTAATCACTTTAATGCATTTCTGATCAAAGGAGCCCAGAGTCATGAGAAAATCCTTTTAATAGCACAATTTAATATGGTTGACAAGTTGACAGGTCTTTCAAATAAACAAATTATTCACTTTTATTTAAAGCACCTTCGTGTAGCTGGGAACTGTTAGTGCTAGGTGAACGGTTGGACTAGATGATCTTCAAGGTTCTTTCCAACCTAGATGATTCTGTGATTCTGTACCAGGCTATGCAAAGAAGATTTACAGGAACTGAGCATCTGTCTGTGAATCTGCAAGGTCCTTAATCACAGAGCCCACTCGATGGCCTTTGTGCAAAGAATCTGAGGAGTGATACCATTCAGTATAACTAGCCCTAACTGGTCTTTGGTCTTGAGGTGATTTTGCCAGAGTTGGCTCTAAGCCCTGTTCTGCTGGGTTTGGTCCCTCCCTCCTCCCAGTTTTATCCAATGATTAATGGAAAAGTGCATTAAAACTACTCCTGGGTGCAGTCCAGAGTCCCCACCTCCCTGGGGTAAGAGTCAGGTTCTTGCTTGAAATTTTGCTCTCTAGACCATTTTGCCTTTTGCAATGCACCATTTCAACTGGCAGAAGGGACCTGCTCCCAGCTTTCCTATAATCCTGTCTTCCCCTTTCTCCCTGTTCCTCTTGTCTATGCCATAATGAGTAGCAGTTTCTTAAAAACTGGGAGCAAACCTTCCTTACAGTGAAGTGGGCATCAAATCCCCACCTCCCAGTCCTTGACCAAGAGCTTCAGGCTGTCATGTGAAAGGTGAGCTGCAGGTGAAGGTACCAGTCAGAAGGAAGAAAAGCCACAGCTACTACTATGTTTTGTGGTGTCAGTTCTCACACTGCCAGTTGGTACTGACATTATGAATTGCTGAGTTTATTGAGAATGAAGGGGATTTTACGTAGGTCTGATACAAAGGGCGATGTATCTTGTTCAGTCTGAGATACAGATTTTTCCACAGTGGATCAAGTTTGAAGAAACATACAATGAAATTCCACAAAATAAAATTATAGGACAGCTTTTCTAGACCCATAGTTACTCAACCTAGAAGTATAAGGTTTCAAGCTTCCCTTCCTCCACACCAATTTTTTAAGGAGTTTACAGTTCTTTCTTTATTTGTTCTGCTTCTTAGTATAAATATCTGCTCTCTGTAACCTAAATGTTTGCATCCTCCATGACTTTCTATGGCACTAAATTCCACAGATTATTATGCAAAAAGATGTTTCCTTAGTGCTCAGGCTCTTTCATCAAATTAAAAATGTCTATAATAAATGTTTTCATCTTACATAGTATTTGTATATGTTGCCTGGTATGCACAAAGCTTCTCAATGGGTGTGGAGAGCATGGAAAATCCAATAACCAATACACTTTGAAAGTCAAGATTGTTAAAAACTGATAGATTTCCTTCCACAAATGTTATTCCATCAACAATCATAACTTTTGCCAGTTTTGATTTGTCTCAGTCTGTTGATTGTCCTTGTGGGATGTTCTTGCATTGCTCCTCTACAGTTACAGAAAGAAGAAGGATTATTTCTACCTATGGCTGCAACCCACACTTTGCTGAAATTAATAGTATGACCTGCCATCTGAAGTCATTAATGTAACATTAGGGTTATAAAGTCTGGGCCAGCTCTCGCTTGCAAGCAGGTGTACATGCCAAATAATTGGATTAACATCAGTAACACTGGGCTGATAGGAAAGGCCTCAGCGAAACACTCTCCTTTCCCCACAGCTGAGGCATGGTCTTGCCATATACATGCACTTGTGCTTGCTTAGGCAGCCAGGACTTTGGGTCTCAGATGTACTCCAGGCAGAGTTGGCAGAGCTATAGTTACTTAGCTCTCATCAGTTTTCTCACTGTTTTTGCTAGACTAATTAACTAATTTCCTCCTCCCAAAGTAGGTCTCTGCTTCTGACTGATGGAACATGGGGCTATCCATTTCCCTTCATAGGGGGATGTTGCTCAAACCCATTCAAAACCTGCCAGCTTTGCTTTGGCTTTCTCCTGAGAAGATGATCTATACTGGGAGCCAGAGGAAGCTATGAGTTACAGTCTGGAGCCTGGCCAGGGATGGGTGTTATGAGCTTGCTGCATTTCAGAGCTTTTCTGAAGAAGGCTTCACACACTCACGTTGCAAAGAAAGTTTTTATTTCTCAGCCTGGATTGCTGAGGTGAGACTGAATAACTTCTGGCAGACCTGGGGTCAAATTCAGGCATATCCTGTAGCAGATACAAGACTTGCACAAATTTCAGCCATGCCTCTGAAATGGGATAATACCTTTTGCCACAGGGGACCTCCAAAGATAACTTTGCTCATATTTGTGAAGCATTCCAATTCCCAGTGTGTTAGTTTGAAAACAAACTAGTGGGAGACACCAAGTCAGAATAACAATTTAATAATAAGAAAAAAATATTTATAAAGGCAGATAACAGTGGGTTAAACTAACAGAGTCAGGATACAACCTGACACCCTGTTAATCAGGGTGGTGGTAGCAGTCTGGTAGAATGGTGGCTGCAGTCCCCCCGAAGCAGTGATCCCGTAGAGGAAAAAACAAGATCTGCTCTTCCTCAGAAAAGTCCAGTGGTGACTAAGCAGCTCCTGTCCTCTGGAAATCCCGTGGAAAAGAGAGGCCTCTGGTATTCAGAATCTCAGGTTCTATCCAGGATGGAATGCTGGGTTTCTCCCTCTGGGTGGAGCATCTCACAATGGGATAATGAGTCATGCTGCATGGCATTGATGGGCCATTAACAGAAAGGTAGTCTGGAGGGGGGGAAACAAGGAAACACTGCCCCACCTGATTTCCACAGCTCATGAGGATGGTAATAGAATACACTGCAACCCAGGACACACAGAGACTCGTGCTTCAGAAGAACACACAAGGAAGAAGTGATTATCTCCATTTCATGCAGCACAAAGCTTAATCAGAACAACACAGGGCCACTGCACGGGGGAGCTGGAAGAAGATTGCTGAACCTGTCACAGAGCATCCTATATACCAACTGAAGCAGGAGTTAAATGGGGAAAACACCATATATAATAATGTAATTAACAAATGTATCATAATGCTTAGGCATAAGGGAGCTAGATTAAGCTATGGAGGCATAACTCTAGCTTGCATGTAAGATCTCCATAAAGACAATCACAGAATCATCTACCTTGGAAAAGATGTTGAAGATCACCTAGTCCAACCATGAACCTCACACTGACAGTTCCCAACTACACCAGATCCCTCAGCGCTATGTCGACCCGACTCTTAAACACCTCCAGGGATGGGGACTCCACCACCTCCCTGGGCAGCCTATTCCAATGCCTAACAACATGTTCTGTAAAGAAATGCTCCCTAATATCCAGTCTAAAACTGTAAACCTTCTATTGTTATTGGTGGATGCTCCAGGCAATAAACAATCCTGCAGTTTGATTTCCTTGCCTGTGCACATGGCTGCTAAATTCAGCATTTATTAGTGGTGTCTGAGAGGGAGACCAGTGTTATTGATGAGAGTCTGTAGGTGCAGTTTCACAACTACCTCTCTGTAAAAATGGCTGGGGAAAATGTAACATTTAAAAATTGCTGTGCATGAGGAAGAATTCATAATACTCTACATGTCACCTGAATAATTAGAAGACAGGCGAGTTTTGAGCAGAATAACTCCACAGGGTGAATGAAGGATGATTCCCCATATTTATCTGGTATGAAGTTCAGTTTAGATAGTTGTAATTGCTTGTTTGGTAATGGCATTATGAAGCTGAATTAATGATGCATACAATATCAATAAGGGTGCTCCAATATTCTAGGCTCGTGGAGAATATTGAGTGCAAAAGATATATGTGAAAAGGGAAAGACTGATGCTCCCATTCTTCATTTTCATTATGGATAGACCTGATAAGAGTCACCCTGTTTCACAGGCTGCCTGGGAAGAACTGATTTACATTTCTGCTTTACAGTGTGTGCCTTCCTTGGGTGAATGCCATAAAGGCTATAGTCCAGCTCACTGGTCCTTGAAGACCAGCTCCATCGCTCTGAGCCATGACAGGTCTATGGTCCACCAAGATAAAGCTTATTAATGTGGCAAGTTAGTGTGATGATAAGGGGTGTCAGGAGGAGGAGGGGATCCCCCATGCACTGAAGGATGTTGCAATGCTGCTATACATTAAGAGCTGATTTACATTTGTATTTCTCACAGCAGTTTTAAAATTTATATAGACTTGAGTTACCAAATAAATACAATACCTGCATCCGTACCTTTGCAGAGTATTCATGCTTACCAGCTGTGGGGTGACAGTCCTAGGCAGAAGAGTGGCCTGGGAGCCTGATCTAGATCATATTTTTCCCAGCCATGTGCTGAGCTCATCATCCCTCCCACCAAACTGTCTTTTGTTAACTACAGACACACAACACTGGCTTAAAGTAGCAACATTTTACACTACATCCTCAGAGATGAGGCTACAAGGAGTACAGGTGGGTCCAATTTTGCCATCTGTAAGTGGAGAAGGTAATTTGTTGCCTCCCGCTAGTGCTGGGAGGTTCCATTCATTGCCGTTTTGTGCTTTGCATGCAGAAGACACTATACAAGTACATGTTTGATACAGATATTTGCCAGAGGCTTACAAACCTTCCCATATGGCATCTCCATGCAGTGCTCATGAGCTCAGATTTTCTCTATACGGGACTGAGGTGATAAAATAGCGTCTCTGTCAAACTGGAAGCCTCCAGGAACCAGCATTAATGCCTCAGAAACATTTTAAAGGGTTTTCTTTATTTTATTTTTTAAAAGAGCATCTGGAAGTTTTCTGGCCTTTCAAATTTTTGTTCTAATTCTCATCCTAACTGCCCCCCACCCCATCCCTTTAGCTTCTTTTTCTACTCAGAAGATGGGAAACATCTTTAGGAGTTGAAGTGGAACAGTTGTGCTCTAAAATGTGACACTTTAGAAATAACATTCCCATTTGGAGTTGGAATAGTTACTGTATGCTGAAAGTAATGCTTTCTTTCATTTCGTATCTCAATCTTAAAAACACTAATGCATGCTCTTTCTCTAAATGTAGACAATGAATGTTTCTGTACTCTTCCTAGCTTTGGTAATTCCCTCGGTAAAGAGAACAGTGTGCAGGGGGGATGGACAGTGCCAAAGAAGAGAATTAATCTCCTGCCATCCTGCTCCATTCCCTCTATTGCCCCAACAACAAAAATCACTTGTTGATTTTTAAGAGCCATACTAAATTTGAGCAAAGTCATGTTTATTTATGACTGAGAGGGATAATTTTCAGTCAAGACTAATGACATTACACAGTGATATATAAGGTCCTTTTCACACTGAGGGAGAGACAAGTCCTCCTCATCACACTTTCATAGCTCATTAATTAATTTTAGGGCATCTCTGAAAGGCAAAATATATGCACAGTGTTTCAGAATGATGTAACATATGGAGATGTAACATAATCAGCCATAGTGAGTTGGGTGACTTGACTAAACTCAAGTCTGATACCTGCATCTGACCTAAAGGTTATCTGACACTTTGGTTAACCTCCTGCACTCCCCAAGAAGATAACTGTAAATAGAGTAGAAGAGAAAGCAAACACTGTTTAAGAGAGCTGTGCTTAGAGCTTTTTCTTGGTTTGCCTGTCATACTAAAAATGAGATTTGTCTGGGGCAAAACAATTAACCCCAAATGGAAGTTGGAAACAAAACTAAATGTTTTAATAAAGAGGTGTAATCCAAAACTAAATTTTGCTTTGGAAAAAAACACCAAAGCAAACACATAATATTATCATTAAAGGTCACCTGATGGTTTTGACTAAATCCACAAAATATCTCAGTCATCTCCCACTGTTGGTCAATCTGTGCCTTCATAACTGCTAGATCTTAGTGCCCCAAAGTTTAAAGAATATTTTTTCCCCCACCTACCAACTTTGTGGAGGAAGCATTTATCCCACTGACAAAAGGAATATCTAGACAGTGGGTTATTTAAAAGCATGAAGGCAGTTTTAATTTGGGAGGAGGAAAAGAAGCTGTGTTAAAAAAGGGGGAACTGAGCCCAGCTATTCCCCTTCCTTCTCCTGTGCATGCCATAGACGGGATCAGCCCCACGCACACTGTGGAGGCTGCTGGATGGTAGCAGGAGCCTCTCACTGTAGGACACTTCCAACCTGAGCGCTGAACCCTGCGTCCCCCTGTGTCACCATGCCCCAGGGTGTCACAGGGTGGTTATGCCTTCCCCAGCATCTGATGGAGGTACTGTCAGCCCCGTTGCTGCCCCTTTGGGTGCCACTGCTTTTGAAATGCCAGCCAGGATTAAATTGTTTACCCAAGGCCACAAGACAGCTCCGCAACTGACATGTCAGTCATACCTGTCTTGCAATGCCCAGCAAGGCATCCTCCCCTTCTTTCCAGTTTGAGAAAGCAGCTCCATATGGTTAAATTAAGGTATAAAATGGCAGAGATTTATGGATTCAGAATTCTATCCAGGCTGTTATGGTGATTTAGAGTTGGGTCAGAACCAAAACCTTTGATCATACACACAGGTTTGGGTGGTATTTGAAATCTGGATCCACTTCTGAAGTCTGCATCTGACTCATCTTTAGCTACAGACATGGTGTTTTACAGTTTTATTTCTATTCCAGGGAGACATTTTCATGCATGCTGTGTGGCAAGCAGAGGAGGTGGAGATCTCTATATGATTTATATTCAAGGTGATACATACATAACTACATCTCTATTTCTCCAGCCCATAGTGAGATATAAATTTAACCTTATTCATTTGCTGTGCTAGGAAACAATGCAGCTCATTTGGCAATACACCAGCCACAGACAGGAGTTAGGTAGAAGAGAGATTCAAAGCCAGTCTCCTGACTGACTTTTTGAAGTTCTAAGCCATTTGTACCTGTAGCAGTAATGGCAGTAAATAGATCAGTTTAGGTACAGTAGAGAAAAAAAACCTCCAGTATGAATCTTTATCTAAGTGAATGCTGGAACACTTCATATGTTTTCTGAAGATGTCCAAGAAAAAACATTTCTTGTTTTGCTTTGGTAGAGTGTTCTGCTAGTGAGACTGTTGAAAGCCAATTCCCAAACTTTTGATACTTTAAAAGGTTAAGACTTTTGGTTTTTTAAATGCAGTAATTTAATCTCTGTGTAACAAGATTGTATTACCTTTGAAGAAAAGTCATTTATTTAGCTGGGAATAGATGACCTTGTTGAATATGATTCACTTATCTGTGGTTTAAGGTGAACAGCTTTTTTTAAATTGATCAGGAGCACAAGCTGTTCAGCTGGCTCCAGAAAAAAAAAAAAAAAATCTGAAAAAAGGGAATGGCTGCTTCTTTTTGTGGAAAATGTGAAGTCTAACAGGTGTAAGACAGAACATAATGAATGTGAAAGCAAGAACACATTTCCATATGCTATTTTGAGAGCTCTGGGAGGGACACAGAAAAGAAAATTTCCACACAGAAAAGCAGAAGCATATACACCTGGTGGGTTATTTCTGTTCTCCAGCCAAGACACGCATCTTGGATAGGAGGCTACAGTGATACAGAACCACCCTTTGAATTTCTGGGGCACAACACCAGAATGTATCAGGAGCTTGATGTCCGTTTCATGCAGGAGGCAGTGCCAGTATGCACACTGACAGAGTTCCCTCTTGGCGACTCCTCATCTACATGATCCAGGGGTGGTCCCTCTGACCAGATTTGTTCCTCCTCTAGCCACTGCTTTACCTGTCTGCTGAAGCATCCATGAGTAAGTTCAGATTTAGGATCCTTCTGGGTTGCATTTACATATTTCTCAGCTGTGCCACAGGATCCTGTCTACTAGCTACTAACTCTGAGACACCTGGCTAAACAGTGGATGCAAATTTACAGAAGGACCTGTCACATATCCTGAGATGACTTAGGCAGAAACACATGAGTGAGCCAAAAATCCCACAGTGAAAATCACTACTGCAGTGAAGTCACATGGTT